ATCTGCGGCTCGCAGCAGCTGCAGGAGGAGGGCGAGGCATCGCCCAATCACTGACACTCTGGTTTAGGGAGAAACACAGGTCAGTTACCACGATCATCTGAACAGAAGATGATTATTAGTGAGTCACTTAGTCACCTGGTTTAAGGGATCAGTCCACTCAGGAACAGACAGATCCAGATTCCGGGAATCAATCAGAGCGTGACGCCAGGTTTAGAGTCCCTTGCGTCGAGCAACCAGCTCAGAGAGAAAAGCACCTTGGCGAAGAGATTCAGAGTCCCGTTTGTCGAACGTCCAGCTCAGACAGAAACGCACAGACAGGCAGAATCCAGCAGGGGTCCAACAGAGGTTCAGCCAGTTAGATCAGACAGGGACAGATAGGGCCAGTGGGTAAGAGGTAACGGAATCAGGAAAACAGAATCACTCAGGAAAAGTTGAAATGCTCCCACCACTGGTTGATGATTAAACTAGCCTGCAGATATGGGATGAAAAATAATCTCCTACTGGAAATGGGGACATATCTAATATTGACAGACAGGACACTAACAGAAGACAAAGAGGGAACTAACAGAAATCAAACAATGATCTGGCCATGATGGCTGGAACTGAGCCCGATATAAGGAAACCAGCAGGTGGATGAAATGAGTGATGATTAGGAGCTGGACAGAGTTAAGCAGGTTAAAGACATGAGTAATTAAGATGAGCTAACAGGACAGATCATGACATGTATAAGGGGATGAAGACTTACCCCCAGATTCCACATACTCCATTAGCGCCCCGCTCCACTCTGCTCTGCCAACTTACGTTGTACGGAGTACTTGCCTGTCACGTTAATCAATGATAGCTATTCAACATCCTCTGCATGTCACCATCCACGTATGTCTTCTCCGTCCATCACTGTGAAAAATATGGAGCTGAGCCATTTTTTTGCTCCATTAAGGTCCGACCACGTCAAGATCCGCAATTGAAATCGCACCAAACAGGAAAAAGTCAAATTAAATTAAATTAAAATATTTAAACAATGGACTGGTAACTACAAATTATAGCATAATTCTTATAAAGTCCCCACAACAAAGGCTGTTTAATTAAATTATTGAATGGAAACTATCGGTACTTTAACATACCAGGAAGCAAATTTCTCATCTGGATCAAAATATTTATTTTAAACTGTTAAATCCCCAAGATGGATGTTATTTTTTTCTTGCATCTAATTAACCCCTTGCTATGTTTTAGGCTCCGCCATTAAGACTGGATGCGGCTTCTTGAGTCTCAGCCCAATTAAGATACAGAAGACTATTTAAAGCCGAGCGTACACTGTGCGATTTTCGGGGCGATTTTAGAGTTGTGCGAGAATCTTTCGATCGGTCCGACTGTGCCTGATCGTGCCTCGGGGGTGGTGTGGTGGGTTACAAAGGGCGATCAGCCTCCCACGACCACCTCCCAATTAGGAATCATGAGGTCCTGATCGGGAGGTCATGTTTGATTTTCTCCCGACCGTCGTGGGCAAATTGCTTAGTGCGCATGCGCAAACAAGGATTCTTCTGTAAACACAGCAGAATGGCAGGGATGCAATGAGTGAAATTCAGTTCTGTCTGTAAAACTGACAGACTGTAGATACCACGTTTGCTCAGCCATGCCTTATTTGGGCAGAAACTGAACATATGCTGGATGTTGATGGAGATATTATTAATATGTCATATTAAATCAAGCATTCATTACCAGGTGCTTGGCTCCTGAGAATTTAATAATAATATTGCGGATGCTCTCCTCGAGCTCCGAGGAAGTCGGAGCGGAGCAAGACGGGAAGAACAGCTGAGGCTGTAGGCGTTGCTTTGCTCAGACAGTCTGGAGCGCAGCGGGGCGCTGATGTGGGATTTCGGGTTTAAGGTGAATGCTTGATTTGCATTTCTATGGCTTAAATCAGCTTTGCATATGATAGCCTCCCTCTGCTTCTAGAAGTGAGCACAGGGAGGTCTTGGGGACAACACTAAGAAAGGACATGGTGTGAATTTATGGTGGTTAAAGGCTCAAACCTAAAATTCCTGTGTTCTAAATAAAGTAAAAAGTGAGAAAGCTTGGTTTTTGTCAAATCTCATTAATCTTGGAAGAAGATTATGGCCCAAAACAAAAACCTAAACAAAATAAACTCTATCACTTTTGATATCTGAAAACACTAATCTTTTGTAACTGATTTAAGAGGTTAAACATGAAGAAAAGTTGAATTATGATTAGCATAATTGGTCTCCAGACTATACTTCAATTACTGTTATTCACAAAATTACTTATTTTTATATATCTTTAATAACGTTTGTTTCAAACTGCTTTGGTTAGTTTCCCATTATTTCATAAAGCCAAAACGATGAATTGACAGGGTATTAACAATTTTATCTCAAGTAAATTTTGGACTCAAAATATCTGTGAAAAACCTGTACTGCTCTGCCCAATTTGTAAAACTAACAAGTAAATGAAAGTGCCAAAATGCAAAACACTAAAATTAGGGGAAAAAAAAGTCAATTTTTTTATCACCTTTATTTAACTCATACAGATTATGTCGTAAAAGAAGGTATATTTGAAGTAAGAACAAAAGAAAATCTGACAAAATAAACATTTAATCTAACTTGTCCCTGTTATGTGATTTCTTGTTACTTTCCTTTAAAATTATCCATTCAAATATTGACTCTTTGACATGCCAATGATTAAATGCTTGCACAGTCATGTGTTGCTTCCCAATTAGCTATTCCAATCAGGGTTGGCCTGGGACACATGCCCAGTATGAGATACTCCAACTTGGCCTGCACCTTTACCGTCTTTTGCACATGTAACTATACTTTCCTGGAAGTTGTTCTACAGTATGTTCTCACTGCAGGGCTTGACAATCAATTCCGATGTTTTGAGAAAATAATTTTATTTTTTATTTTTTTTGCATTGTTATTTAGGTTACTTCTTAAATGTGGCCACCATCAAACTCCAGTCTGAAAGGTTTATGGCAACCCGCATGAGCAGACGGGTGTTGCAGAGCACCAAAATATTTACGGAAGCAGCTGTGTTTTTGTAAGTGAAAAATAGGAGAGAACAATATTATGATCAAATTATGATAAGGCAAAGAAAGGTAAAAATAGAAAAAAAAAAAAGCCCAAAGGAGAGTAGAACTATTTACAATGTTTTTTTTGTTTTGTTTTTTTATCTATAAATGAGTATACAGAGCCTGGATGATAACATGATAGACGGATAAATTATAGATGAATATTAGATATGAACTTGTATTCACCCTACATATGGAAATGGCATAATTCTGAAAATGGCATAATAATTTGTTTGTTCTGGCTACCATGAAAAAGTAAGATATGGCTCACATATTGGCCAAAAGCTTTTAGATTTGGGTCCCATTTGCCTGCTAATCAGTTGTTCGCTGTGTAAAGTTCATTATTGCTTTCCATCTATAGCTTGCACAATAGCTTTCTGCACTAATCTTAATCTGAAACTCCCGAGAGAGAACTGTAGAGAATTCTCCTAAGTCCCCTTTGAACTTAGTTCAAACAATATACTTGTTTATTATATCCTGTTGGAAAGTTGCCAATATGTGGTGAGTGTGAATGCCATTGAAATTTTAACTTGTAGTATTGATCTGCTCAAAAAATACTGTGATGTAGGCAACAGCAATTGCGTCAGTACACAAACTGCTATGCATACTATCAAGAGTCACTGATTACTCCTTTTTAATGTTATCTACCAGAGGACAGACAATTTGCACTTAAAGGAATAGTACACCCAAAACATGATTAGCCTTCATTTTCTACTCACCCCCATGCTGAACAACACTCTGGAGTACTTTTTTGATATCTCAAATGCATCTGGAGATCTGGGAGGCTTCTTGCTGTCTGCTGACATTCAAATAATGGAGGTCTATTGTGCCCGAGACAGAAAGGTCCATAAAAGTCCACAAAAAACGTGTCAATATTCCTCCATACTGCTCGTCCAATGTATTCCAAGTGTCCTGAGTGGGTAGCATCCAGAATTTACTCGAAACGAAGTCATTTAGAATGTTTTTAGAGCATAAACAGTAGTGTATAGGATTTCCTGAAAGCGCGCGCCGGCGCGTTCATGACGCTACGGAAACCGCGGCAGACCAAGCCAGATGAAAGTGCGCATTCAGCTCGGCAAAGAACTCATGCTCTTCCTCAACACTGAAGTCCTCAGACATTTTTCTTTCGTTGTTTCTTTCTTTGCACAGGTAAACAGCACATTTCTTCTTCTACGCTTGCATTATCGTCAGAGCAGATGCTGAATGCGCACTTTCATCTGGCTTGGTCTGCCGCGGTTTCCGTAGCGTTGTGAACGCGCCGGCGCGCGCTTTCAGGAAATCATATACACTACTGTTTATGCTCTAAAAACATTCTAAATGACTTCGTTTCGAGTAAATTCTGGATGCTACCCACTCAGGACACTTGGAATACATTGGACGAGCAGTATGGAGGAATATTGACACGTTTTTTGTGGACTTTTATGGACCTTTCTGACTCGGGCACCATAGACCTCCATTATTTGAATGTCAGCAGACAGCAAGAAGCCTCCCAGATCTCCAGATGCATTTGAGATATCAAAAAAGTACTCCAGAGTGTTGTTCAGCATGGGGGTGAGTAGAAAATGAAGGCTAATCATGTTTTGGGTGTACTATTCCTTTAAGAAGTGTATGGGGTTGATATGAGATGCCTTTGTGAAAAGTATAACCTCACATGGAAAAGTATGTTTGACGTGAACATGGTGGAGCATAGATTTTTTGTTTTAGACAAAGCCAATACAATAATTACTTTAATACTACTGTAGTTCTTGAAATACTACATCAGCTCACTGTCTTCCCTAACTAGCCTTCCAACACAAAGTTGGTAATCCTTGCTGCAGTTAGGCTCAGGGGATATTAAAGGGGAACACCGGATTTTTTTACATTGGCCCCTTGATTTCACTTTACTACATCATGTTCTACTCACCCATATATCAGTTTTGTGTCATTTGGAGCTGTTCGGCGGAGTGTGCATGACGTCATCCACGCGCCGGACTGGAGTTGTAACAGGCAGCCCGGGCAAATGGCGGCTACGCTCTACCCCTTATATTCATTCGGCTAGTAGATCTAAATCGTTCAATTCCATTTGGAGAGAGAGATCATCTGTGGTGGTAGCTCTAGACCTCTTCTGGGCATGTGAGTAAAACTAGCAGCAGTTCAGCGGACAGGATGAATGAATGGTAGCCGGCACGCGCGGATGATGCCATACATACTCCACTTTGTTTTTAAAAGATATAAATATAAAAAATATAACCACTGATGTCTGGGGGACAGTGATTTGCCTACATGTTATGAATGTTGGCGCACCATAAAGAATAAATATGAACAGTTTAGTTTGTGACTTCAAGTCATTGCCCATAGGAAGACGTTACTTGGATTACAAAACTGAATATCTGCAGAACAGTTCCAAATGACACAAAACTAATATGGGGGAGTAGAACATGATGTAATAATGTCAAATCAATGGGCCAATGTAAAAAAAAGAAAAAAAAAAAAAAAAGAAACGGTGTTCCCCTTTAAATCTTCCTTTTTGTAACTGACTTCATACAAATTTGGGAAAGTTAAGTTCCTGAGAGAATTCTCCTAACCAAAGTCTTCTGCGTCCAGATCGATGGTTGATTTCTAAGAGAGCCAATTTTCATCTACAATTTATGCATCTTTATGCATTTTTATGCATCTTTATGCATTTTTACAAAATTGACTTAATGTATTCTGTTTTACTAATAATTTACTTGATCCTTTGCATTGATGATTGACAGTTCTTTTGTGTTAGAGATTAATAATAATTTTAAGTTAAATTCAGTTAATTTATATAGATTAACAGCACATGTCATCTCAAAGCATTTTACAGATTTAATTTCATTTCAACCAGATCACACAGACAGATTGATTCAAAGTAAGTAGAGTTAGACTAGGTAGTTGCCCTGTAGTCTTAAACTGTTTCTTTAAATTTAGTTTTTTGATTTTTTTGTCGCAGGTTTAGAATCCCCACCAGGGGAACATATGTGGGACAAAACCACATCCATCATATTCTTTATTATGGGAGGCTGTGGGTGGAGGCTGTGTGGCAGGTGATGGGCCAAGCACATCTCCCAGGCATCTACCATTCGTACTTTCACCCCTTTGAATATTGCTCTGAGGATCTTATCACGCTGTAAGGAATACCAGTCGCTGGCAATCCGTGTCTCAGAAGCTTTCAGCGTTTTGGGATTACCAGTCCTAATGATGATCAGTGTACCTGGAGCTCTGCTCAACAATAGCTCCACTGCCCTCCTTATGTTAAGTAAACGTCGAATGTACACCTCGACAGGGAAGGTAGTGAAGTGTGCCCAGATACCAATAACTATAACAGTGTTGGTGCCTCCAACCACATTTTTCAATTCACTGGTAATATAACGTGTCTCACTGACTGGCATGGGAGTGAAAAAGATAGGAGTACCATGGCAGCGGTATGTCACTAAGATGTTGTTTTTAAAATCCAAGGCCATATAAGGTCCTGCTCTCGGTGGACCTTTCAGGTCAAACGCCTTGAGATCTGAAATCAGAAAAAAACAGATTAGGCTGTGACCTAAACCAGTTTCAAGTGTCATCGGACATTGCAAGGGACAATTACCTGGTGTTTTTGCAATTAAATATTCAAACCATTGCCTGACAGTGGAATCTCCGTAAAAGTGGACCATCTTCCCTTTTAGACACTGGCTTATTGCTGCAGCATTGTTAAACTGATGAACTGTGGTGCCATCCAATGCTCTCCATATGCCCTGGTAGTAATAACCAGCAGTAGTCTTCATGCTTTCATTGGTTTCACCTGGAAGGTACATAGGAGAGATAAAAATATCGTTCCACATTGCATGCTGGTGTGATGGTAATGGCCTTGCTGCATGTGGAGAGTCTGATAGAGAGATCGAAAATCTTGCTTCTTACTGTTCAAATTAAATTTAATCTTAGAATATAATTACGTTCTTATTGATTACTGCGCTGTTTGGTGCGATGCTGTCTCCAGAACAACCAAACCTTTCTTGAAGAGATAGTTTCTTTGTTGTGAAATCTTCTTGGCCACAGTATTTTAATATATGCATCAACAATGATTAAGGGAGTGCTGACATTCATAAAAGAGAAGTGGTTTGTGACTAAGTTGATTGTTAGCGAGGTAATTATAAGTAGAGAGTACCTGTGTGTTCCTGCTTTCCTTGTAGAAACATTTTTTTTTTATGCTGGGACGTGGGCATAGACTTGCTGCTTATTTGGATAAAACACAGAGCCTGTGCTGTGATAGCTAATAAAAATGTGTTGATATAGCTAAATGTGCTCCTCCAGTCGCAAAGGCTGTCAGCTATCTCAGATACTGGAAAGGGAAGCAGCGGTCAGAAGAGATAGCCCCATTTTTATAAGGGCACTTGAAGGACTGAAAGCCCTCTTAAAAAAGATAGCTCAGTTTGTGAAAATGCCGAGAAGGAGACATCTGCTTTCAACTTAATTTGATTTCATTTTTTTTTTACAAGTTATCTAGTCAAGTAAGGCATGATACTTTCCAGTCTAAAACACACCAGACCAGTCACAGTGTGGAAGATGGGCTCAATGCAATACCCTTTTTCATAACGATAACAGTTAAGAATGCAGCTTATGTGTTTATTCCATAAAATTTTGACAACTGGCTGCTGTAAGAGCTCTTCTAATATTATTCAATAATTACTACAGATCAGCCTTTTGTGAATTAATAAATAAATGTAAAGCAAGTTTTACCTTTTATTTTTGGCAAGATGTTGATGCTAGCTGGTCCTGATGCCGGAATGGAGACTTTCATGTTGACACCCCTAAAGCAAAGCAAGGTTTTAATATAGCATAAACCTCATACAAAATAATCTGAATGCTTTTGGTTCAAAGTGGTAATTCCTGGATAAAAGTATCCCTGTAATCCAGGTAGAGTATCATTATATCCATATGACAAGGAACAAAGCATGCGATTGGAACAGTGACCAAGCAATTAGTTAAAAATCTTACATAAGGACTATTTTTGTGTAAATTTTCTCTTCAATTGATTTGATGTAATTTAACAATTGATCAAAATAAAGTAACTGTGTTGAACATCACAGCTGTGAAATCAATATGAGCATGGGATGGACTAAAACATGGATGAAACAGGAAATCATTTTGCATATACAGGAAAACAGATTCGTTGAAAGGACTGAATCCCCAGCACCTGTCTTGCAAATCCTTTAAAGCTGTGTTTTGTTTAGGCTTGTTTTTTTATCACTGGTGCTCAAGGCAAACTGCTCTGCATGAACCCAAAAATCTCCTTCTTCCCCTCCTCACAGATAATGAGAAATTAACACTATCTTGCCTTCTCAGAAGTTCCCGTCTCCCCTGCTGAGCAGTTTCTACTAAGTTTTTTGAATACATCTTTTAATAATTTCCTGTGATTTTCCTGAATTTTGTGTCCTCTGTCCACTGGGTCCAATATACACAGTTTTTAAATAATAGGAATAGTGTACAACAGGTATGCCCAACCTTTTTTAAACAAAGATCTACTTTTGAAGTTGATGGCATGCCGAGATCTACCAAGCCAAAAATGAGGGATGGGCAGTATTTTATTTTTATTTGCACAGGTGGAGAATAAACAGTAAGTCCAACAAACAAGGAAATGATCATTTGTGTCAAAAATTAGGTTGCAAAAACAGAACTTAACAATCTCATAAGTACTTGACACCATATCTCTCTCTCACTCTCACTCACTCATCAGACACACCAAAACTACTGAAAAGAGCAGTCGAGATCTCCAGACAAAGGCTGTGCAGTAAAAAAATCTAAATGAACCAATTGATACACACACACACACAGTCCAGTAGAGATGAAAAACAAACAAAAACGTTAGAACTGTAAATTTACAGTCATATGTTTATTTCACTGTTTTTATATATATATATATATATATATATATATAAATTTTAAGGCTGCACTTTAAAAAAAGATGAAATTGTCCACAGAGCTGTTCCAAGCTAAATTTCTTTTTGCTTTACACTTGTGTAAACAAAACGACAAATACAATCTGTCTAAGTCTAAGATCACTTCAAAGCAGAAAGAGAAAGGAAGTCCACAATTTCAGATTGACAAACTTCACTGGACATTGGCATTGGCAGAAAAACTGGCAGCTGGATTAAAATTCAACAGGAAAACAGATAAAAATAGGAAAATACTACGTACACACTATGTGGATGTGATTATGTAACATACAGCAGAATGGGTTGTTGACCATTTCGGAAAGTCTTTAATTTCGGCAAAGGCTCCATCAATCTTTACTAGAATCTGCCACGCCTCAGCCACCTGACGTTGGTGCGCAGCAGCAGATCAGTGTGGTCTGCACCTGCCTCCTCGAGCTGTGCACAGAATAAACGCCTCTAAAAATTCCTGGCCCGAACAGAGCAAGCGATCTTCATCGCAACGTCCATGACATCCTTCATATTTTAAATATTGCCGCACAGCTGTTGTTGATGAATGATGCAGTGGTAGCTCAAAAAATCCGGGAAAGTTTCAGACAGCTTGAACAAAGCCACGAATCCAGCAGTGTGCCAAACCATAGATGGAGCCCCATCAGTTGTGATAGATGTCATTATCTCATCATCTCTTCAGATTCCTCTTCGCACTTTAGAGTCCCTGGTAACTACCTAGCAACCGTAGCAAACCATGCCCAGCAATCAGCATGCATAAAAAAAGGTTCCCTGCATACTTTTTATTTTAAAATTTTTTATTATGAAAATACACTTTGGCCTCTCGTGATCAATGATTTGATTAGTATTTTTTAAAACTTTTTTTTGTCATAGCCATAAATAGGTCTGCATTGTAAAACTTCTCGCGATCGACTGAAACTCCGCCCACGATCGACTGGTAGACCGCAATCGACTGGTTGGGCACCCCTGGTGTACAGGTACATCTGTGCTGGAAATATGGGCTGAAAATCCCAAAGTGAAAGTAGGAAAGACCCCCAAAGATGGTAGAGAATGACTGAGCCAAGATCCTGTGAGACACAGACGTGGGATACAGACGGACCGAATGGTATTGGCAAAACAACCGGACATTGTGGTGGTGGACCAAAAGCAGAGGAAAGCCATTGTGGTTGACATAGCAATACCAAGTGACTGCAACATCAGGAAGAAACTAGAGAAACACCAGGGGCTCAGAGAAAAGCTGGAGAAAACATGGAAGATCAAGACAACACTGGTACCAGTGGTCATTGGGGCACTCGGGGCAGTGACCCCCAAACTTGAGGAGTGGTTACTGGAAATACATCAGACATCTCGGTCCCAAGGACCCAAGGTTGGAGGATAAAAGGGGGAGACCACTCGCAGTGGATGAGAAAGGGTTTATATACACTGCTAAAAATTAAAGTAACACTTTGAAAACACATCAGATCTCAATGAGGAAAAAAATCATGCAGTTTATCTGAACTGATATGGACTGGGTGATGTGTTAGGAACAAAAGGATGCCACATCACTTGATGGAAATGAAAATTATCAACCTACAGAGGGCTGAATTCAAAAACACCCCAAAAATTACTGTGAAAAAATGATGCGACAGGCTAGTTCATTTTGCTACAATTTCATTGCAGGAACTCAAAATGGTATTCAGTAATTTGTATGGCCCCCACGTGCGTGTATGTATGCCTGACAACGTCGGGGCATTCTCCTAATAAGACGAGGATGGCGTCCTGGGGTATCTCCTCACTGATCTGGACCAGGGCATCGCTGAGCTTCTGGACAGTCTGAGGTGCAACCTGGTGGCGTCCGATGGATCGAAACATAATGTCCCGGAGGTGTTCTATTAGATTTAGGTCAGGCGAGCGTGGGGGCCAATCAATGACATCAATTCCTTCATCCTCAAGGAACTGCCTGCATACTCTGGCCACATAAGGCAGGGCATTGTCGTACACCAGGAGGAACACAGGGCCCACTGTGCCAGCATATGGTCTGACAATGGGTACAAGGATTTCATCCCGATACCTAATGGCAGTCAGGGTGCCATTGTCTAGTCTGTATAGGTCTGTGTGTCCCTCCATGGATATGTCTCCCCAGACCATCACTGACCCACCACCAAACCGGTCATACTGAATGATGTTACAGGCAGCATAACATTCTCCACTGCTTCTCCAGACCCTTTCACGTCTGTCACATGTGCTCAGTGTTAACCTGCTGTCATCTGTGAAAAGCACAGGGCGCAAGTGGCGGACTTGCCAATTCCGATGTTCTGTGGCAAATGCCAATCGAGCTCCACGGTGCCGGGCAGTGAGCACAGGGCCCACTAGAGGACGTCGGGCCCTCTGGCCACCCTGGTGAAGTCTGTTTCTGATTGTTTGGTCAGAGACATTCATTTTGTAAGGCTCTGGCTGTGCTCCTCCTGCTCCTCCTTGCACAAACGAGCAGATACCGGTCCTGCTGATGGGTTGTAGACCTTCTACAGCCATGTTCAGCTCTCCTGGAGTAACTGCCTGTCTCCTGAAATCTCTTCCATGCTCTTGAGATTGTGCTGGGAGACACAGCTAACCTCCTGACAATGGCATATATTGATGTACTATCCTGGAGGAGTTGGACTGTCTGTGCAACCTCTGAAGGGTCCAGGTAGCACCTCATGCTAACAGTAGTGACAGTGACCCTAGCCAAATGCAAAACTGGCGAAAAAGAGTTAGAAAAGATGAGGAGGGGAAAAAATGTCAGTGCCCTCCACCTGTAAAACCATTCCTGTTTTGATGGTCATTTCATTGTTGCCCCCTCTAGTGCACCAGTTTCATTAACACCCTTCCATCCATCCATTTTCTAGCACGCTTATCCTGAGTGGGGTCGCGAGGGGTGCTGGTGCCTATCTCCAGCAGGGAGAAAGCCGGGTTACCCGGAGAGAACGCACACATGCTCAGAGAGAACATGCAAACTCTGTGCAAAAAGACAGGGCCGGGAATCAAACCCAGAGCCTTCTTGCTGCAAGGCAGCAGTGCTACCCAGGGCTCCACTGAGCAGCCTGAAATTAACACCAAAGCAGCAAATATAGCTGCCATTGTAATGGGCAAAGAAAGGATAGGTTAGCTCCGCCCAATGCGCATCAGACCCACTTTTTGACCGCACAGCTAGAGCACAAAAGATGTAACAGCCGCGCCTCAGAACTTAACTTCTCCAAGCATCAAAAATCTAACAGCACATGCGTTTTTGCTGCTCCAGCTGCTTGCAGTCTGAAAGTAGCATAAGAATCTTAAAGGCTGCAGGAGCTCCATTTATATCAAATCTAGGTCAAAGATAAGCTTTTAGTTTCTCAGGGTTAAATTATCTGGTCCATTTTCTATGCAATGCTTAGATGCTTTAGTAAAGACCAAACATTATACTCACTGCTGAAAGAGCTGATTTTCCAAAGGTTCTATGTTTTTTGTGAATCCTCCTCTGGCATGGGTGATCCTAGTGTCACAGTTTAGTTTCTTTGGTTTGTAGCAGAACCAGGGCTCCCCTGTGTGAAGATCAGTGTAGTTGCACAGCTTCTCTTTGGGACCCTTAAGGCACACATTACATGTCACAGTTTCTGTGATGGAGCCGGAGCGGAAAACACTTAGAGAATATGCTCTGTCAGGCTGCTCTTGGGTCACTTTATCCAACAAGGTGACTGCTTCACTGGAGTGAACAAGGGTCACCTTTAAGAAAAAAAAAAGAAAAGAAAAAAAGAAGAGTTGTTAAGTATGTTTTAGCCTCAGCGATAACATTAAAGACGGAGACTTTTTATAACTACGCCTAAACAAAAAATTTTAGTGAATGTCTTTGGTATATTGATAATATTGTATGTTCAGCGTTTTTACTTGATGTCGATATACAAATATATAAATTTTATTTTATAAGTTATTTGTCCTTTAACAGAATCCAATTGTTTTTCTGTGTAAATTGGTTCCCACAAGTAAATACATTTCAGGATTTTTAAAATAACATGAAATGACAACAAATAAAAAATGTACCAGGTGTTCTTGGAGAATTTTCTGATGAATAAGCAAGAATAAAAAAAAAAAAAGAATTTAAAGAAATGGAGCCTAGGAGGAAGTTCAACTGAAGCAACTCATTACTCTCCTACATCCACCTGCGACACAGCCAATCAGCTTTGAACCACACCTCCACGAAAACCAATCGGCATCGAAAGTTCATCTTTAAAGGCCTCTGATCCACAACTAGTCTGCTACTTAGTGCACAGGCGGTGGATGCGCTGTGTCTTCATTCAGATGGCACCGTTTCAACCCACCTCCAGCCCTTCCTCCACCTTCGTAGCTAAAGCTTCATCAGAGTATTATTCCTCCTGAACTCTTACTGCGTTCCCTGTCTCATGTCAACCGGTCCAGCAGAAGGCCGCCATGTTGAGCCTGGTTCTGCCAGAGGTTTCTTCCCAACAGGGAGTTTTTCCTCTCCACTGTTGCTTCATGCTCACTCATCATGGACAGGTTCTCTCAACCTGTGTTATCCAAATGGACTTCCATCTTCCAGGTCCCTGAGTGAAGCTTTAGTATCAGCTCACGCAATCCACTGGATCTCCATGAAGCTCAGCCTACCGTCTCGCCAACCAGCAGTCTACAGACAGACCAACCTGATTTATCTCCAGTCCACCACCAGTTTTTAGGCCTAGGGGAGAAATAGCCCTAATCTTTACTCTTGTTCATGCATATCTATCAAAATTAAGCGCTATGTTTCCTGCAGAGGTCTGAGCGCCAAAGACAAGTAATTGTATGAATAAATTTCTCCTAATTGTCTTTTCTCTTCGTGTGAATTTTTTAAATTGACCTACAGGTTGTAAGAATACTTAAAACAACCTTACAAGTTTTGTGTGGTGTAGGAAATGATTAACATGCTTTTACCTTGGCGATACAAGCTGGATATGTTACAAACAACTGCTTTTCAGACTGATGACACTTACATGGGGATTTTGATGGCTCGGAAAGACTTTATGAGCCATGATTTTATAAGGACATGTTTTTATAAGAACTTGACTAACCTTGACTTACACTTCTTTTCAGATTTTATTGAAAGCTTTCTGTTTCATTTTTTTATTTGGTTTCTGCAGCTTATTACCAAGTTAACAACAACTTGACATTTTTAAAGTGTGAACCCATATTTTTTCTTTTGTTTGTTTTGTTATTTGTTGTTTTGTGTTCTGGAACGAATGTGTGATGAATGTACTGTATATGAGCACTCACATTGAACAACTGTGTGTTTTAATAAGTTAAAAAGGGAGAACAGACTTACATTTGTCCTGAGTTTCTCTTAAATTTAGATTATTTAAAAAAAAAATGAATGGTGAAAAATGTTGATAACCCCTTTTCATGTGGTGGATTTAAAATTTGACTATACAGTAGTAAAATGATTGGGTTTTTCATTATACAATTTAATGGGTGGGACATTTACTAGCCTGCCTGATCCAAAGCTGTTACTTTTAAAGGTATGAACAGGTTGAATAATGCAGTTCAAATTTTTTGGGATTTGTCAGGAATATTCTGACTTACGAACGGTAATAATGATTGTTCTAATAAGTCAAATGTTTGACACTAAAATCTGATTTGGTATAGCATTTTATTTTAAGTCTTTTTGACACTTGAAAGGGGGATCTTTAGACATTGAAAAGAATTTGGTATGAAGTTTTATCTAAAGTAAAATAAGATAAATAAAATATAAAAAGAAAGTCTACTAATGTTACTAGTAGAATAAACAAAATATAGAAAATTTTTTGATAAAACGATTAAAACTACTAAATAGATATTATAACTTTGCTAATGTTTTAACTAGTGTTGCACCGATACCAACACCAGTATCGGACAGGGCCCCGATACTGCCCTAAAATGGTGATATCGGTATCGGCGAGTACCAACAAATAGGGCACCGATACCATTTTGAGAGCCATAAGTTTATTCAACTATTGTCA